TTATTCAATATTAATTGATTGATAAAATCTAACCAGAAAAACAAACCTCTTCAATTTGATTTTACTAAAGATAATTTATCTAATATATAAGAAAAGTTTTATTAGTTAGTGAGCAGCAGTAAATTGATCAGAAAGATCAATCTATGACTTTAGTTATCCAGTGAAGGTAACCAAAGTCAAATCATCATTATATATTAAATTGTATTTCTTTCCTTTTGTTTCATATTAAAATTATTAAAACATAAGTGAAAATAGTTAAAGGTCAGTGAAGACCAGTGAATAAACCGTGATTAGTTAATTGATCTAGTCAGTGAATTAATCAATTAACGGGTTAAACTAAAGTCAGTGAAGACTAAATTTTACCTTTTACCTGAATACTAAAGGCCAGTGAAGGCTTAATATTATTAAAATAATTCAATTGTGATTAAATTAATTGATACAAATAACTAATTAATATACAAATTGTGCTCTAATCAAAAACGAATTCAACCCCTTTTAATTTACATGTAATGACTTCGTTACATTTGGTGGCCCGTGTGAGGGTGAATTTTTGTGAACTAATTTCCATGCAAATGTATTTCTAAATTAATCCGAATCGAACTATAAAATGACCTTCAATTAAAAGTTAAAATCATGCTCTATACGTTACTCTTATGAAAAAATAAATATAAACAATTAACAAATAAACAATTAAAAAAATCAACAATTAACAATCAACAATTAACAACTCAACAATTAACAAATCAACAATTAACAAATCAACAATTAACAAATTAAAATTATAAACAATAAAAGACTAATAATCAATGATCAAAATTAATAATCAATTAACAATTACATTAATAATTAATCAAATTTGTATTTAAATCATATAATTGTAACACACTACTAATAACACACTTTACAGATTGTCCATTTATCTCTTGATTATACAAAAGTAAGTCTTCTTTTTTGGTATCTTTCCCTCTTTACAATCGCTAATAAGGTCAGTGAAGACCAAACTTTTTCGTACGATTGTTTTCTTATCTTGTTTATTCTCACATTTGTTTTTTTCAGTAGAATCCTTAAACTTACGGTCAGTGAAGACCTCAGTTTATCATTTATTTCTTTATTCATTTTTATCATTATCATTATGCATCAAAATATTTCAATTTAACTCTTAGTTAAAACAAACATAAATTATGAATTACTCTGAACACTTTGGATTTAATCCAATCAATTTAGCCCATCAATTAACGCTATAAAACCATCAAACCATGTCCTAAACAATCATATTACCATTGAGCCATTTAAAGGTGACAATGAAGATTTGATTGATTGGTTAATAAACTTTGAATTAGCTTCTAGTGCTTTAGGTCTTGGTGCTATTGAGATGTTCAAGATCATTCCCTTTTATTTGCAAGGTTCAGCTCGCAAATGGTACAACGTTACCTGTAGTCCTCATTCTTTCCGAAAAATGCCTAAAACTTATGATGAATTAAGAAATAGAATGATCTCAGACCTTTGCCCAGTTGATTATCAAGCTCATCTCTCTCATCAATTTCATTATAGTAAACAAGAGCCAAATCAGCTAACGACTAACTTTGTCTATCAAATTCAAAAATTGTATGAGAATGAATAAAAGATGCCAGAAAAGCTCATGATAATCTTCATCATTGAAAGACTTTTACCTCAAGCTAAATTCATAACTTTACAAAATCCTCAAACATTAACCGAACTTATTAATGCTGCTAAATTAGTAGATAAAACCGTCAATTCAAGGTAAAACAAGAAAACGAAAACGAAAATAATGTGAATTTAAATCAATTACAATTTAAAATTAACAAAATAAATGAAAAATTGAACGATTCAGTCTCTTCAATTTTCCAATTCCAAATACAAATCTAATTCACAGAAATCAAATTAAATAATAACAAAGTCCAAGCAATGTTCGATACAGGTTCGGTTTAACTCTAATCAGTAAAAATCTAGTTGATCGACTGAGTTTAAATTTGCAACCGTACTTTGAACCCTTCCATTAGCTGTTAATAATAGCCCAGTTAAAATACTTGGACAAGTCAAAGTTAAAATTAAAATTTGACGACGAATCAGCAATTGCAATATCAACAATTGTCAAGTTACTGAATATTTGCCATCAATTTGATGCCTTAATTGGTCAAGATCTAATGACTAAGGCCAATCTTATAATTGATTGCATCTAAAACAATACATATTAATAATTCGAATCAACTAATCTCACGAGTTTACCAGTGATAAACATTCAAATGAGATGAAAAAGCTGAAATTATTGAAAATCTTGATCAAATCGAATCGAATCAATGCAAATTTGAAGAGAATGAACAAGAAAACTATTGTCCTAATTTAGAATTAGTTGATTCTCAAAATGAAATACCAATTGCTGAAGAGATACCAAAATTGATTGATGAAACTAACGTTAATTATCCTAATCTTTACTTAAAATCAAACTCAATTAAATGTTTATCTTCATATTATTATCCTTTACCTTACTTGAATTGTTACCCTACACTTGAATATTATCAACCCTATCACCAAACAAATGATAAAATCATCAACTTAAACAGTCATGAACCTAACGATAATGTTTTCAACTGGTTGGTACAAAGGAGTGCCGATGAAATTACCTAACGATAACCTCCCATACACTTCTCGAAACATGGACTTCACCCTTTGCTTTGGCAGGGACTGCTCAAATTTAAGATGACGGAAATGTTGCAATATTATTCAATATTAATTGATTGATAAAATCTAACCAGAAAAACAAACCTCTTCAATTTGATTTTACTAAAGATAATTTATCTAATATATAAGAAAAGTTTTATTAGTTAGTGAGCAGCAGTAAATTGATCAGAAAAGATCAATCTATGACTTTGGTTATCCAGTGAAGGGTAACCAAAGTCAAATCATCATTTTATACCCTTAAATTGTATTTCTTTCCCTTTTTGTTTCATATTAAAATTATTAAAAACATAAGTGAAAATAGTTAAAGGTCAGTGAAGACCAGTGAATAAACCGTGATTAGTTAATTGATCTAGTCAGTGAAGATTAATCAATTAACGGGTTAAACTAAAGTCAGTGAAGACTAAATTTTACCTTTTACCTGAATACTAAAGGCCAGTGAAGGCTTAATATTATTAAAATAATTCAATTGTGATTAAATTAATTGATACAAATAACTAATTAATATACAAATTGTGCTCTAATCAAAAACGAATTCAACCCCTTTTAATTTACATGTAATGACTTACGTTACAGGGTCAACACGGTCGACCTCTAATGATTTCCTATATTGGAAAAGTCATTAAATTGATACAATTATCGATTTGAATAAAAACTGAAAACTCAAAATAATTTGATTTTTTCGCTTTTCATAATCTATTCAATCTTTTCTATCTGTCGTTATGATTTCATTTTCTTAGTTTCGTAAAATTTTCGTTAATATTTCTTATTGTGAGCTTTGGATAAGTAATGAATAACTCTCTTATTAAAGTTTTGTTCCAACTAGCGAAAGGAAAGTCCGAGGATCAACTCAAGCTTATCTTCAGAAATGCGCTAGGTAATATTCCTATAACAGTCGCTAGATTTTTTGATAGTGAGGCCGATGTTATTTCATTCTTCAGATCAGGTGAAGTTGATTTACTTTTTCCGGCTGTATACTTTCATTTTCTTACAGGTACAGAGGTAAATGTGTCTGTCGGGCCAGTGATTGGCTCTGACAGTTGTGTCTTCATGAACATTTACCCAAATTCGTCCACTGGTGTAATTAACAAAGGAATATTATCATCACTTGAGATAATTGATGACTCGGTTCGTATCTTAATCACCTTTTTAACGGTTCTCGCTTTGATATTATATTTTGCTCGATCTAATATCAGAAGTAATGGTCAAACTGATTCAGCCTTTTATCGACCTTCGATACTAGAGCTTCTGTTGACGATAATCAAAGGTAAATTTGGGTTATTATTATTTTTAACCTGCTCTTTCTCCGTCTATTACATATTACATTTATTTTCGACATCTTTCACAACACAATACTCGATAGCTTCACGTCCAGCACCGTTGAATACGTGGTCTGATCTAACTTCACGGAAAGAAATCAAGTGTTTTGCAAACAGAAATGCTTGTTATCGTTTCGCAAACGAATCTTTGGGCTTAAAAAACCTACTAATTCCTATATCCGAGTATCGATTGATCGATGAATATTTTGATGAATCAATGATTTCAGTCTTTGGCGAACCCGATTACGTTGAATGGTTTTTTAATTTCTTTTGTCAACGTCTCTATATTAGAAATCATAAGTATCTCAAAAATGGACGGAACGATTTTCTGTTTCATTCTAGCAAAGTTCGCTATTTTGAGAAAACAGGTTCATACTTTTACCATTCGAATATTGAGCATAATAAAAACGACGGTTTACAGAGCTGCATATTCACATATTGAACATGGTTTTGATAAGTTGGCCGCAATTAATGCTAATAAACTTTACCATCGTCGCATCAATGATAGTCACTTTCCCGGATGTCGGTTCTACCGGAATTAAACCCTAGAATAGAAAATCTACGATCCTCACGTATTTAAATTTACTGATCTCATTTGCCTTTACTTATTATTTTGTGTTTTTACAATCATCTCATTTCTGTTTGAAGTTTTTCTCATAAAATGTAAATCTTAAGATTAACATCATTATGAATCGTAAAACATTAATAAAATATTTGTTAATATTCTTTTTGATTATGTTTTGCGAGAATGATAATCACAGAAACGTTAATCACAGAGTAATACAAGGATTAATAATGAATTTTCTTGGAAATGGATTAATCTCAATTGAAGAGATCTAATCAATGAATCGTTTCAATTTTCCCACAATACATATAATAATGTAATACGTATAAGTGATGAACATTAAGAACGTTTGATTAAATTGAAACAAGGATTCAATCACTACAATTTTATAATCATATTTTATTCTTAAAAATTTAAAGTGAAACAATATTACAATTGCAATGTCGGAAAACAATCAACTCTCAAATAGTGATCAAGATCGTCCATTGAAAGTGTTTATTACATCAATGTTAGCGTAAGTATAAGAACAATTAAACTATGAGAAATCTAAATGATTGGTAATCTATTTTTATTTTCGTTACAGTACTGGTCACTTTAATTCTTGTCTTGGTATTGGGTCACTTTTAAAGAAACGCGGACATGATATTTACTTTGCTCATCTGCCAAAGAATCAGTCAATCATTGAACGACAAGGGATGAAGTTCATTAATTTACTTGATTACTCGAGTGAAATTGTTCCTGTGGAAGAGATTTTGATGTCCGATCCTAAATTTTCCAAGGATCAAATCGAAGATGCTTGTAAGTTTCATCCTCTTGAACAAATGAAGCAGAAAAAGACTGAAGATAAAGACGTGCTGTTCATGCAAAAGATTGAGGGAACGACCATAAAAGAAAGTGAAGTGATGATCAAACTGGTGAATGAATTAAAACCCGATGTTTGTATTGCTGATTACGGGTTTCCAGCTCCATGGATGAAAGTTGTCGACGTTCCGACGATCCAAGTGATGTCGGTTGCACCTACAGAACTTTATGACGGCCCACCACCAGGATCAGGTTATTCAGTGCACGACTCACAAGAGCTTTGGAAAGAGTTTAAAACTCTGAAAGCTGAAAAGATGGCCGAAATTATAGCTTATGCTGCCAAAACAAACGAACATTTTGGTGTTAAATTCGAGGATAATCAATGTCCAAAATACTTGGGTATCTATGTTTACCCTGGACCTTTGGACTATAAAGAATTGGGTCAACCTAAACCTCGATGGATTAGACTTGATTCAGCGGTTCGATTACCAGAGATAAGTGATTTTATTATTCCTGAGAAATTAGCAAACAAACCAGGAAAACTAATCTACCTTTCAATGGGAACTCTCGCTTCTATCAATCCTGACTTGTTGAATCTATTGATCGAATCATTGGCTAAATCACCACATCGATTTATAATCTCTACCGGAAGAAATGGAGATCAAGTCAAATTATACGACAATATGTGGGGCGATAAGTTTGTCAATCAAATCGCCATCTTACCTCACATCGATCTGTTCATCACTCATGCAGGATCCAACTCGCTGATTGAAGGTCTAGTAGCGGCAAAACCTCTGATTGCGATTCCAGTATTAGGTGACCAGTTAGACAATGGACAACGCGTTGTTGATCTTGGATTAGGGGCCAAAATCAATCTGTGGGAGTTTAATGGGGATAAATTCCTTGAAGCTATTGAAAATGTATTGACTGATGAAAAAATTCATGAAAATGTCGCAAAAATATCAGGAGAAATTAAAACGTCAGACTCAACTGATAAAGTTTGTGAAACTATCGAGCAAATTGCAAGAACAAAAAAACCAATCATTTAGTTATCAATATTAAATTGATTATCATGTAGCGTCTTTGTACCAACAATCAATTTATTTATTGTAAATTTTAATCGCTCAACATCACGATTAAACTCATCATTTAGATATTAATATTTACGCAAACGCCAATTACTAATAATATATATTTTTTCAACGAGACGCATCAATTGAAATGCTTGATTGTTAACACAATTGTCAAAATGAACCGAAATTGAAAAGTTGATTAGTTTGATTCAAACACCGAAGCCAGTTGATTCATATTCAACGGACTGACTAAACCATAATTGGGTTTCTCATTGTCAACTTTAGCCGACTTAGTCAAAAATCTTCAGCTAATACTCAGTCGATTGACTTCGGTGTCAGGTTTGATTGTTTTCTGGACTTGATTGTTTTCAATATTAAAATTAACAATTATGATAAAACCTTTGGAAAATTGCAACTGAAAGGTGAACTTCAGGGTGATCAAGGTAAACACTTTAGTGAACAAAACTTATCGGCATTAGCCAACTGATTTATAACTAAAGTTATCGATTCAGAAGAGACTGCCTTTCACAAATTCAGTCTGTTACAAATTCTTTTAGGATCTTTCAAAATACTAATATTAATTTAACTCACAAGGTAAATTAGATTATAAACTTAAAGGTTTATTAAACTTGTTAATTAATGTTAACAGTATGAAGATTATGGGAATTAATTGTAAATTGATTCGATCATCTTTTATATAATCGAATAATCGAAATTTGAAATTTTCTAAAGAACAATTAATCTGATTGGTCGATTAACCATTTGTCTAAAGACAACGATTTTCTATTGTCTCCTTAGTAGACATTAGTCTAGATTAAAATAAATATTAACCATTTTCTCAAGAGAGTTAACTTGTCAGTCAGACGATGATGATTAACATCTTTAACTTCAATTGTGAACAATAGTTAATCTTAAACAAAGTGAAAATTAAATAGTAATTAAGTTAATTGTGAACAAAATTAATAAAACAAATAAATTTAAGCCTTGAGGTAATCCAAATATAAGTTAAATGGTTCCAACAGGTAACTCAGTTTTCTACCCTTCACTTCCGTGGTTCTTGATTAAGACTCCTTGGTTGGACCATTTTGATTTGATTTCTTGGAATAGCTCGAGGTCGATCAACAGACCGTAAAATGTAAGTCTCTTGATCTTTCTCTTGAATTATGATGATCTCTATGAACATTAACCGAGGTAATGATGTATCATATTCTCATGGATGAATCTCAAAGATTGTGTTGTCTGAGGTACAGGCATTTCAGATGCGGGTTGACAACAACGATGATTGAATTGAGTTTACCTCTTGATCTATCAGGACCATAATAAGCCCAATTGTCAGGCCATTCGGCTTCATGAGTTTGAACTCTTTCAGAATAGATTTTGAATAACCTTGAGACAAATGAATTACTACATGTTGATGTTACATTCGCATAATGTATTCCATCTCTATTTGATTTACTTTCTCTTGATCTCTTTCGGACATTACAGTGCATCGCTATTATGGCCTCAATAGAGCAGATAAGGTCTATTTCCACAGTATATCCTCCGAATACCAAAAAATGAGAGTTAATGAACAAGCACTTTCATTAAATGGAAAATATTTGTGTTCTCTCTCATCTTTGGCTTTAGCAATTCAATTTCACATGACTCAAGTCCAATTGATTTTAACATGTTATTCCAGCACCAACAATTACTTTAGCACAAGCAAGATATTGGATCACCTGATCTCTTATCGATGGTAAGTTTCTCAATCTAATATCAGATTTCTTGAGACCATGATAATGTGAGTCCATATAGTTAATGTTATTGTGTCTAACTAGAGTTTCGTAAACTATTTGTTGAAACCCATTAACAATAACGATCCAAACTGGTCTTGGCATTAGCTTATTAGTATAACTGTTTCGTTCGATTCGGTTTCATTAACGACAAAGGCCATGTGAACACAGAAAGTTAACAGAGGATTAGGATGAAGCTTTGATTGTTGTTCGATCCTTGAAATTGCTTCACTTAAAGGAGGAAGTTGAATCCTTGTGACACGTTGATACAATTCAGTTGCTTCTCTTTGTTTCTCATCTTTTCTTTGCTGTTTCCAATCAGACTGATGTCTTGATTTGGATGATGATGAGGTTGATGATGAAGAAACTGATGATTTATCGTCAGAACACCACGAAAACGGTCATCACAGATTGAGGTTAACACTGAGTTTCTCTCGTTTACGTCAAGCAAGGTGAATGGATCGATCTAATAAAACCATCCATTAGCGACATTATCTGGAGATACATTTACTTTAGTGAAACCTTTAGGTGCTCTTGGTTTTCCTTTAGCAAGTTTAGCCCATTCAGGTGAAGCTCTTATGAGATAAGCAGGTACTGTATATTTGCTTACGATTGTCGCTGGTCTTATATATTGACCTGGTTCGCTCTTTTACCTATGACTGGGTCAAATCCAAGGTCTTGGAGATATTGTTCACCTTCATATATTGGAGCGTGTGGATCACAAACTCTTTTAAAACTGACCAATAACATGTTCCCATGTTAGCGTAAGTTCTAATAGCGTTTGGTGTAAGTAATGGATCATTTGGTGACTTTTCTTTTATCACATCATATTGGCCCATTTCTCATGAATTCCACCATCTTTCTTCTTGAGATCATAAGAAACAATTCGTTGAGTTATCGCTGTTTGTATGAGAGGTAAAACTGGTTAATCGTCTTGGGGCTTTAGCCAATTCATGACGAAGTTGGTCCGGGAACGAAGGTTTCACCAAGTTGGACCTCAAACTCTTCAACAAATAGTCCATATCGACATTTCATTTCGTGGTAGAAACTCTTTAGGAGAAATCCTTTCTTACAGAGATTCCGTCGACAGATAAAGTTGAACTGTTGTAAATGAGTCGTTTGATCTTCATAAATTGGACCAAATTTTGGGAAATCGTCTTGAGGCGCGTATTTAACGGCACATGGGAATAACACAGAAATTTATCCTCGAATCGGGTTTAATAAGATTCAAAATCTTGATGATTGATGAGCCATTGAACACGAATAACAATACCATTTGTTACACTCTAAACATTGTCTTGGGTTGAGTGAAATGTGTTCACAATGTACACACATTTAATTGTGTTATGAATTCGATTTATTCCTGATTGAATAACATTGGCTCTAGTTAAACCTCTAGAAATGGTTGGTAAGTCTATTTCAAACACTTGAGGTCATGAACAAGATTGAGATAATTTCTCTTTAATCAAGTTATCGAAAATTTTCTTTTCTTTTCAAACTCATCGGCTTTAGCCTTGACTTGTTCACAATTTCAGTATTTTTCCTTTTGGAGATAATCTGGTAATTCACCAGGTAATGGAGCCGGATACTCGTGTAATGGCCAGCGTAATCGTCAGGTCCTGGTATTTACCTTTAGGTACATCATGAAGTTGAGTCGGTCGACGTTTCCATGTACTTGATGATGGTTGTTCAGGAACCTTAAACTCTGGCTCAGTTGGAGTAACTTCAATGTCCATGAGACATCATTTACACTATCATATTCCTTATTTCATTCCTTGATCATCGGTCATCAACGATAACAGTTGAATAAGTATCTTTAGATGTACTAGGTTCATTAGAACTTTTAACACGAGTTGGTGTTGGTTCAGTTACTTTCTTTTGTTTACCTTTATCAACTTTAGGTTGTTTAAACAACTCAGGTAATTGAAACGCTGATACTGGTTGATAGACACGATGTCGTTTCACATATTCACATGGAATTGAATTGTTCTTAAGAGCATCTTGATTGATAGTAATGTTAATTGATGAATCACTTGAACTTGGTTGATTAGAATCAATGGAAGTGTTTGCTGTGGTTGGTGTCGATTCATCACTTGGAACTTTTCCACTTTCCTTAGCCTTTTCAGGGGAAACAGGATTCGATGAATCAGAATCATCAAGTCGAAGTTTCTTCGTAACTGAAGTCAATGATGATTGTGAACCTTCATTAGATGAATCGGGTGTTGAACAAAGTCTTGATCGCTTAAGCGAAGCAGAAACACTATTGAGATCAATTGATTCTTGAGAATCACTTTCACTTGTTGGTGTTGATTGTTTTGGTGAATTAACTGGTGTAGCAGGAATTTCTTGAATTTCATCACTTTCTTCAGTCATGATTATGATCAACACTTTAAGTAAAAAGTTGATTAGATCAATTGAAACTTGGAGTTTAAACTCGATTAAGATGAAACTTTGATTTGAATCAGTTTGAAGACAAATGTAAACTGAAAATTGAGAAACAATTTTGGTTTTGTTTTCTTTGTAAATCAATTTGTTGGTTAATAATTTGAGCTTTGAATCATTAGAGATTCGTTGTCGTGAGAAATAACAACAATTAACACGATGAATAATTTGATCCTTGGTTAATTGCTTTAGCTTTTGCCTTGTTAAGGGTTGATCACTTATATCATCAAAGATAATGTTTTGTTTATCTTTTGTTATTTCTCGGTCAGCCGATTGTCTTTGTTTCTTTTGACTTGAGTTGATTGTTTGTTGATTAATTTTAGTTTGTTTATCAACATTTTCCGAAGTTTCAATTTCAGTGTTAATTTGTGCTAATTGAATTTGATTTTCAATTTGAGGGTCAACATGATTTTCATCAGCAATGGGAAGGTCAATAGTGGTGAGAAAATTTTCATCAAGTTGTGAACTTTGGTTATTAACTAATTCAATGTTTTGATCTAATTGATTTGAATCGCTAAGACCTTCGATTTCTGTATCTAACCAATCTCGTTCTTCATTGAAATACTTATTCATTATCATCTTCATTTTCTCTGATATTTCACCTACAAATGGTTTTGTATTTTGAACATTAACTGAGAACAAATGAAAATCTTCCTCTCTTAAGAGTAAAAGTGAACCTTTTCTATGACCAACACAAAGATATGGGCCATGATATTTAGGACCTAATTTCTTACTCATATTACTAGGAATCGATTCATCTTTTAACCAGACAAAATCACCAATGTGATACGGATTTAAGAAATGTAAGCTTCGATATCTATTGATCTGATATTGTTCTTGTGACTTAAGTCTAGCATAAGCTAATTTTCGAGCTTGTTCAACGGTGAATTTTGGTTGAGGTTCTAAATCTAAATGATTATCTAAAGGTTTCAATGGAATCTTACCATAAACAAGAAAATAAGGTTGAAAACGAGTTATCTTATGTACTGAAGTATTTATCGCTAAGACTGATTGATCTAATTTCTCACTTAAGTTACTAGTTCCTTGTTCATAGACTAAGGTTCTTAATCGTTCAGCGATGGTTCGATTTGCTCGTTCCACTATTCCTTGTGATTGTGCATGATAAGGGTTAGATGATTCATGTTTTATACCATTTTCCTTGAGGAAATCTTGAAACTCATCACTTAAAAAGTTGG